CTTGGTCTTCATACTTTCAATCAATCTATGGAAGTAAGATTGCCAAACAAGGTACTAATTACGGCCGAACCAAAAGTTGTTCTCATCCAGGATGGACTGCAGTTTCGGCCTCGCCTAGGTCGTATCAAAATCTCCAGCGGGACTTGAACCATGACCGTGCAGCTTATAATCTCGACACGTTAACCTTTACTCCGCATTGCTATGAATACACTTGGGTCACAGGGCAGAGGAAAATTTCAAGGAAGCCAAGGCATTTTCCTATATCACATTCTGTGTTGGGCTTGTTGTGAAGCAAACTAACGAGGATGAATACACCTCATATATATGATATACTAGTTTCCTCGAAAGCCTACTTATGAAATGAAAAATATGAAAGAGACCCTGTTGGCTTTTAAATCTGTTCGCACTTGACGTGCACCACCCAGCTTTGCTACAGTCCGTTATGGAAGTGGACAAAAAGTCATGTTGTACTTAGGCTGCTGAAATAGCAGCAATGTCAAGATCTAGTCTAAGCTCCAAAAAATGATTTAAGGATGCTCTGATTTCGTAGTGATATTCCTTTTCAAATGAATTTAAAGGCAAAATAAAAGTAAGTTATATTTGTATTACCTTAGACGAAATAGGGTGGATACATCTCATTACAAAAGTAAGTTAGTTAGGATTTCTTAAAAACCCAGCTCTTTTTCATATGCTGATGTGAATACGGTAAAACTTTGGTATATTATTGGATTTCTGAAGCACTTGCAAACTAATCTTCCAAAAGTAAATAACACCCTTACATGACCCAAGCTGCGTTATCTACATGTCACGTGATATTAGAAAAACAGACTTCAAATGGAGGGACAGATATTTGAACACATCAAAATAGTCTAGAAGGCCTCATGATTCCGTAGAAGTTCACTCGGCCTTGCCTCCCAAATGACTTTATCCTCCTCACAAAATAGCTACTTTACCCGGTAACTACGAGTGTCACTGGATCACAGGGCAGAGGTGATTTCCGACACATGCAAGTCTCCTCCAAATTAATATTTATACTTGGATTAATGTTGATGAGGTAAATGTCTCTCTACCAATATAATCGACAACACTACTATTAGCCGAATAAGTAGAATTCAAAAGTATAAATAGAGCTTGATCAAGAATTCACTATGACCGCATAAATTGGGTTAGAATCCGAGGCGAATCTTGAAGAACAGTCCATTCGAGGCCAAGGTTGATCAAATTTATTAGCATTGCAAGGCGATTTACCAATTTCATCACAGGGGACTTAATTATCCATATCTCCAACACTTTAAGCAACCTAGAATGCCTCAAGTTTGTTTTAAATGGATATAATGATGGTTTAGAAACCTTCTCATTTGGTGTAAGATTAAGAATTACATATATCTACTGGCAAGTCTAAATCAGTTTTCCTGGTTCCCCTAATATTTCTCAAATTGGTTATCCTTTGCTTTGACTCTTGTGAAATTTCCTTGATATTAGAAAGCATACAAATAATCGGTGGAGAAGTATTGCAGTGATTTCATATCGTTTCAAATGTCAAGAGCTTTTTTCGGATGAGATTTATATATCACTCCAAAAATGAATGAATAAATGAAACCACTATGTGAAGAAAAGTTTAATTTCGAGAAATTTCCTGTTTCATAATTGTTGAGCTTACTTCCATTTCGAGTAAAAGTGATTGGTGAATAGATTCCCAGATTTCCTTTAAAACAGCGTCAACAAGAATGTTACAGTAAAGCCAATCGACAGCTTGCCAAGAGGAATCTGCCGTCGTCTTATGGTGGAATCGACCTTCGAATCTCTTTACCCAACACTTTCACTCGAACTGGAAGTATGCTCAACAAGAAATTTATATTTGTGTTGTTTTGATCAACTTTGAATTGAATCTGCTGCTCGGGACTTTTAAATCCCATGTTGCCGTATGAGTTATAAGAGTGACGGGATTTC